TGAGCCCTGCATCTGGCTCCCTGTTTCAGCAGGGAGTCTGCTTCTCCCTCTCCCTCTGCCTCTCCCCCTGGCTTGTGCTTTCTCTTACTCACTAACTCTCTCTCTCTCTCAAATAAATAAAATCTTTTAAAAAAATCCTCAACAAAATGTTAGCAAACTCAATTCAACAATACATTAAAAAGATCATACACCATGATCTAGTGGGATTTATTCCAGTGATACAAGGATGGCTCAACATCTGCAAATCAATCAACCTGGTAAACCACATTAAAAAAATGAAAGATAACAATTATATTATCATCTTAATAGGTGCAGAAAAAGCATTTGACAAAACTCAACATCCATTTATGATTAAAAATCTCTCAACAACATGTGTCTGTGTGTGTGTGTGTGTGTGTGTGTATAATGTGCATCAACATAGTAAAAGGCATATATGACAAACACAGGTAATATTATACCACTGGTATAAAAGCTGAAATCTTTTCCTTTAAGCTCAGAAAAAAACAGGGATGCCCACTATCTTCATTAAAAAAAAAAAAGATTTTATGTTTAAGTAATCTCTACACCCAACATGGGGCTTGAACTCACAACCCCAAGATCAAGAGTTGCATTCTCTTCCAACTGAGCCAACCAGGTGCCTCATTCTCACTTTTATTCAACATAGTATTGGAAGTCCTGCCACAGTAATTAGGCAAGAAAAAGAAATAAAAAGCATCCAAACTGGAAAGAAGAAGTATTTGTTGCTATTTGTGGATGACACAGTGCTATATTTAAATGACCCTAAGGACTCCACCAAAAATGGTAAGAGCTAATAAATGAATTCAGTAAATTGCAGGATACAAAATTAATACACAAAAATCTGTTGCACTTTTACACACTAATAATGAACTATAAGAGAAATCAAGAAAACAATTCCATCTACAATCACATCAAACAGAACAAAATATCTAGGAGTAAATTTAAGCAAAGAAGTGAAAGACCTGTACTCTGAAAACTATAAGATATACACTGAAAGAAATTAAAGATGACACAAGTGGAAGGATGTTCCATGCTCATGGATTGGAAGAATTAATATTGTAAAAATATCCATACTACCCAAAGCAATCTACAGATCCAATGCAATCTCTATAAAAAGTCCAAAGGCATTTTTCACAGAACTTAAAACAAGTAATTCTAAAATTTGTGTGGAACCTCAAGACTCCAAAGAATCAACACAGTCTTGAAAAAGAAGACAAAGCCAGAAGTATCAAGATCATTGATTTTAAACTATACTATAAAGCTACAGTAGTCAAAACAATATAGTATTGACATAAAAACAGACACATAGATCTCTGCCACATAATAGAGAGTCCAGAAATAAACTCATGCATGTATGGTCAATTAATTTATGGCAAAGGTGTCAAGAATACACAATGGATAAAGAATAGTCTCTTCAATAAATGGTGCTGAAAAAATTGGACAGCCACCTGCATACGAACAAAACTGAACCAACCACTATCTTATGTCATATATTAAAATTAACACAAAATGGATGACTTTAACATTAGACCTGAAAACATAAAACTCCTAGAAGAAAACATAAGCAGTAAGTTCCTTGATATTGGTCTTGGTGATGGTTTTTTGACTCTGACTCCAGACACAAGGAAAACAAAAGCAAAAATAAGTAAATGGGACTACATCAAACTAAAAAGCTTCTGCATAGCTCTTTCCACCATTTCGGAGCCTATGGAGGCCTGCTGGGAACAGGATGCCTAAAAGGACAAATAGGTCTGGAAGGTGTGGTCCAAGGTCATTTTTGCTGGCTATCAGCGGGGTCTCTAGAACCAGAGGGAGCACAAAGCTCTTCTTAAAATTGAAGGTGTTTATGCTGAGATGAAACTGAATTCCATCTAGGCAAGAAATGTACCTATGCATACAGAGCAAAGAAAAACACATTGATTCCTGGTGGCAAACCCAACAAAACCAGAGTAATCTAGGGAAAAGTAATTCATGGTCATGGAAACAGTGGCATGGTTTGTGCCAAATTTCAAAGCAACCTTCCTGCTAAAGCCATTGGCCACACAATCCATGTGATGCTGTACCCTTCAAGGATTTAAACTTACAGAAAAGTAAATAAATAAAGGTGTAGATTTGTTCTCTTGTAAAAAAGAAAGAAAGAAAGAAAGAAAGAAAGAAAGAAAGAAAGAAAGAAA